AATCTTTATGAAGATTTAGTGGCTTATCTTATGGCTGATGTAATTCCCAAAATCTCAAAATTGCCTTCACGCTGTGGATTTATTAATATTGATTCCGCAATAATTGAAAGAGATAAAGCTGTAATTATTACTAATTGGATTGAAAAAAGAGAAACTTTTACTAGAAAACCTTTTTATGAATTTAGACTTACTTATCGTGCAACACGCGACGGATTTGATTACAATAAATTTATCGCGAATAGTTGTAATGTTCCAGTTCTTGGGTTAATTAAGATCACCGACTCAGAAAAAATAATTGGTGGATATAACCCTCTAGGTTTGAAAAATACAAGCCATAATTCCTATAATTCTTACGGTTACAATTATAACGGGCAATGGGAAACGACTAATGAAAGGTGTGTTATTATTTATAATGGTTCTTAATTTTATGGATTGTATGTATAATTGTTTTCTTACGAGTTAAATTTTGTAGTTTTATCTTTTGTTTCGAAGATTTGAAAGGTTCCAATACTCATATACTTAGCCGTGTGAAAAATCCTTCAACAGCAATTTATAATTATAGCGGAAATTGGATGAATTTTGGAAACGCTGATTTGATATTAAGGGGTCAGAATGGAACCTGTTCACAAAGTCAATATGAGAAAAATATTTTAAATGTCAACAACTTTGCTGTTAAAGAGTTGGAGATTTTTTTTGTACAAAAAAAATCAAGCTAAAAATTAGCACCATTTATTTACGTTATAGCTTGGTTTACTTTATTTTATTTTTTTTGACGATCTGTTTTTATATAGTTTTTTTGAAGCTTAAAGGTTTTTAAATATCACGCACGTATAAGAATTATAGTTATTTGAATCTAGCATATTTTATATTACTAGTAGAGAAATCGTAATGTAACGATAAAAGCTGTGAAATCTCTTAACAGTAATTAAAATATGATACGAAAGCCACAGGTTTTTTTTTAATTTCATTACATGATTAGCTTGCATAAAAGTTTTTTTTTAAAAAGAATGAGGCTTGGCCTCAGTATTAAATAGTGCCGATCTAAAGTTGAAGCTTCAAATAGACAACCCTTGTATTTGAAGAGGCTTTTTAAAGCTGCTACTTTAGATATCTAAAGTTGCAACTTATTTATGGTATATGAAGTTACTACTTTAGATATCTAAGGTTGCTATTTTTAAATCTGTTGCTATTTTAGATATCTGAAATTGCTACTTTAGATATCTGAAGTTGCTATTTTAGATATCTAAAGTTGCTATTTTAGTATTACTTTAGATATTTGAAGTTGCTTTAGATATATAAAGTATTACTTTAAGCATCTGAAGTAACTATTTTAAATATTTAAAGTTTTAAAATTGCTACTTTAGATATTAAATTTGTGAAGTTGCTACTTTAGATATTTAAAATTATTTCTTTAGATATCTAAAATTGCTATTCTAAATATATACATAGTTGCTATTTCAAATATCTAAACTTGCTACTTTGATATTTAAAATTGCTAATTAAGATATCTGAAGTTGTTATTTTAGATATCTAAAGTTACAACTATAGATAGTGCAATTTTAGATAGGTAGCAACTAGGGTTGTTAATGGGTTTGGTTTGTTTGGTTTGGCCCAATTTTAGCCCACTTCACTAAATTTGATTTATAAAGCTTTTTTAAAGTTTTTTTTAAAAAACTTACCATTATTATAGCTATTTTTATAAATTCTGAGACAACTGTAAAATTATTAAATTCAGTTATTAAAATTAAGGTTATCTCTTGACTGTCTCTTTTTATTTAGTTTTAAGATAATTTTACCATATGATTAACTCTTCTTTAGGACAATTTGTACAGTATACATGTTTAAAGAATACATAGTAGCTATATATTTAACTTTTGATTGCCTACTTAGTACTCACAGCCCATTCTGAGGTATCTCCTAGCCAGTTTTTTCAAATTACCAATTCAGATAGTCTATCATTTAGCTGATAGGTTTACTAAAGATCATATATATCTTACAATATTTATCCAATAGATAAAGATCAAAACTCTTCTAGTAAAAAAAATGTGTAGTAGTTAAATATGTTCAGAAATTCAAAAGCAACCAACAATATATAGTGATCACCCAAAGCCAGAAAAATAATTCCAAATAAAGAAACATCAAAGAGAAAGATTAAAACCCATCTGATAATAAAGAATAGGTGGTAGTTAAATATATGCAGAAATTTAAAAGCAACTAACAATACATAGTGATTACCCAAAGCCAGAAAAAATAATTCTAAATAAAGAAACATTGAAGAGAACCTTTTAAAGAAAGGTTGAATTCTATCTATTAAGAAAAAATAGGTAGTAGTTAAATATGTTCAGAAATTTGAAAGCAACTAACAATATATAGTGATCACCCAAAGCCAGAAAAAATAATTCCAAATGAAGAAACATCAAAGAGAAAGATTGAAACCCATCTGGTAAAAAAGAATAGGTGGTAGTTAAATATGTTCAGAAATTCGAAAGCAACCAATAATATATAGTAATTACCCAAAGCTGAAAAAAATAATTCCAAATAAAGAAACAAAGAGAAAAATCAAAACCTACCTGGTAGAAAGAATAGGTGGTAGTTAAACGTGTTCAAAAATTTAAAAGCAACCAACAATACATAGTGATCACCCAAAGCTAGAAAAAATAATTTCAAATAAAGAAACATCGAAGAAAACATTGAAGAGAAAGATCGAATTTTACCTGTAAGAAAGAATAGGTAGTAGTTAAACATGTTCAGAAATTCAAAAGCAATCAACAATATATATTAATTACCCAAAGCCAGAAAAAATAAAGAGAAAGATCAAAATCTACCTAGTAAGAAAAAATAGGTAGTAGTTAAATGTGTTCAGAAATTCAAAAGCAACCAACAATATATAGTAATCACCCAAAGCCAGAAAAATAATTCCAAATAAAGAAACAAAAAGAAAAATCAAAACCTACTTAGTAAGAAAGAATAGGTGATAGTTAAACATGTTCAGAAATTTGAAAGCAACCAACAATACATAGTGATCACCCAAAGTTAGAAAATAATTTTAAACTAAGAAATATCAAAGAAAACATCAAAGAGAAAGATCGAATTCCACCTGGTAAGAAAGAATAGATGGTAGTTAAACATGTTTAGAAATTCAAAAGCAACCAACAATATATAGTGATTACCCAAAGCTAAAAAAATAATTTTAAATAAAGAAACATTGAAGAAAAAGATCAAAACCCATCTAGTAAGAAAGAATAGGTGGTAGTTAAATGTGTTCAGAAATTTGAAAACAACCAACCATACATAGTGATCACTAAAGCCAGAAAAAATAATTCCAAATAAAAAAATGAAGAGAAAGATCGAAACCCACCTAGTAAGAAAGAATAGGTGATAGTTAAACATATTCAGAAATTTGAAAGCAACCAACAATACATAGAATCACCCAAAGCTAGAAAAATAATTTTAAATAAAGAAATGTCAAAGAAAAAGATTAAAACCTACCTAGTAAGAAAGAATGGGTGGTAGTTAAATGTATTTAGAAATTTAAAAGCAACCAACAATACATAGTGATTACTCAAAGCCAGAAAAATAATTTCAAATAAAAGAGAAATGTTAAAGATAAAGATTGAAATCTATCTGGTAAAAAGAATAGGTGGTAGTTAAATGTATTTAGAAATTTGAAAGCAACTAACAATATATAGTGATTATTCAAAGCTAGAAAAAATAATTTTAAACAAAGAAATATTAAAAAAAAAGATCAAAGCCCACCTGATAAAAAAGAATGAGTAGTAGTTAAATATACTCAGAATTCAAAAACAACCAACAATATATATTAGCCACCTAAAGCTGAAAAATAATTCTAAATAAAAAAACATTAAAAAGAAAAGAAGGTTTGTAGTTTAAACATATTTAGAAAATTGAAAACAACTAACAATATATAGTGATCACCCAAAGCCAAATATATAATTCCAATAAAGAAGCAACAAAGAGAAAAAAAAAAAAAAAATTAAAATCAACTAAATAGTCAAAAGATGAAAAGAATAAGAAAAAAAATATATATATACAATGCTGTTAAAAAAAGAATCAATAATAATTAACAGAATCTATTTTATTTAGCATAAAAAAATTAAGTTACATAGTTTAATATCTAATATCTATATGATTGGCTGTTTAAATTAATTTAATTTTATATTATTTATACAGTTTAAAGTACTTTTTAAAAAATAAAACTA